GCTGATAATTGGCGTCTGTCTTGTGTCAGTGACGTAAAAGACAGATTTAATGCTGGATCTGGGTCACTGACCTGGATTTCAGGAGTCCTGGTAAGTTGCGGTGTCAGGAGGGCAAGCAGGTGAGTGTGGTGGGTGTTTTCTTCCTGGAGCATAGCGTGAATCTGTTTGTGACTAGTATCCAAAAGGTGAGTTCTGTTGCGTGGTGGTGCTGTGTGCCTCTGTTGAGTCAACGGAGCTAGAGGATATAGAAAACAAGGTAAGTAATATAAGGACATTGATCTTGAGCAAAAAGAGTGAGCCTGTTACTCACAGGCTCACTCTTGAGCCTGTTACTTACAGGTGAGTAACATAGGTTACCAACATAGGTGAGTTGACGGACCAGCAGCAAAGTGATGCTGGTCATAAATACCCCTCTGCTGATTGCCACAGATAACTTCCAGGTGAGCTGCCCTGGTGAGAGAATGGCAGCTTTGCCCAGAGGTGGACACTGGAGAAAAGGCACATCCAGACCATGACAGAAAGCAGTCTATGAATAATTAAAAGTGTCAACAGGTAAGTTTGGTTTGGCTTGTAAAGCTATTTAAATGGTTAAAAGCAGTCAGTTTGCCTCTAGGCTTTGTTCACAAGTTATACAACAGTTATTCTTTAACACAACCAATACGACCAGCCTTTCTGGTAGGTTTAGCAGTGTTCTGCTTATTCAGTCTAGCCCTAGGTTTTAAAGGAGTCTTATAGGGTAGGTAGGTACTTTCATTTCCTTAGCAAGAAAAAGGTTGGAGCATAGCTGTGAATTGTACAGAGTTGGAAAAGAATAAGAAACTAAGGAAACATAGCCAGGAGTGAGAGATGAATAGTGTCCACTGTCGAACGAGGGGCAGAGGAAAGAATAGTCCAGCAGAAAGACAGGCAGATTAGAGAGGCTGAAAAGACGACTAAAGAGGGAGAAGAAGACCAAATAAATGATGGCAGTGAAAAATTGGAAATCAGAGCCCCCAGCTAAGACACCGGGAGACAGGAAGTAGGAAGTAGCTGATCTCATTCCTGACTTCTCTTTGAGAGGCCTCATCGATGTGACACGCATTACCATCGCGGCTCTCGTCTCGGGCCTCATCGTCACTTCCCGTCACTGTTGTCTCTCTGCAGCCGGGGATGATCACAGCCTCTCCTTAACACGCGGAGCCAACGCACCACGCCGCTCTCCCTCCCTGTCATCTCCTTCTCCGGACCCAATGTCACGAAGATAAATAAGAACTAAGAAGTCAGTGAGAATTTTCCAACAGTCACTCTCTCCAAGCGGATTTTTCTGCACTGTTTCTTCTCTGCGCTGCGAAGCTGGAGGATTATCTCGGGGGCTGTCGGGCTATTCGAGGTCAGGACGAGTATTTAAAGGTCTGCTACACAGTGATGGAACAGCGCGGAAGAAAAAGTATTCACAGAGTGACACAAATTAAATCTGTGTGAGTCGAGTTTGCAAAGAGTGCGAACCCCCGATACAGGTGTCAGCTCCCATTCTGCTGAGGAGGCCGAAGTCGCCATGGAAGCTGAACTCATCAGGTTCATTTCAAAGTAACATCAGGCGCATTTACAACCCTGGAATGGTTAAACTAAATTACACGTCTACAGAGAAGATGCCCTATAGGGTTTCTTTAATGTGTGTGTTCTGTGGGTTGTACAGGCAAACCATTCAAAAACTCCAAATGTTCACTCTCTCTTCTTGTAATTCTTCAACGCACATAGATAAAAAACACTTAATGGTGCTCATCTGCCAACCCAGCTCCACAGAACAGCAAATCAACAAATTATACCTCCCCTTCATATTAAACTGCAGGACTATAATTCAGTCCTTGTACGTGTGACAGACTTTTTTGTTTCCTTTTCTGCCACTTTTCTCTTTTTTGCCTTTTTTTTGGGGAGAGAAATGTACTCTAACCACCCACGAGTGAAAAATGGAACATACTCTGTGTTCATAATTTCTACCAAGCACCGTGCATCTGTTTTTGTTTGAGAACCAAAAAGCAGACATCCTCACGGTCGCAGCCGGAGAGGATTCAGACAGACAAACGGATGCTTGAAACAGACACAGACTATGAGGAGAGGCTGACTCAGAGATTTGATGAGAGGAAAATGACGGGGAGAAAAATTGACACAGGAAAGTGGAAACCCAGTAGGAAACAAACACTTTCATTTTTTATTGTCGTGGGAGAAGGCTGGCACCATTGCCAAAGTGACCAAATTGACTACGCTGTCATTTTCTTTCAAATCAAACCTATATTTAAAAAGAGGCAGGCATGTGTCATTACAATACCTCTTTATGTCTGCACTTCTGATTACAGGACCGTCAGAGATGTGCCCTTGGATATACTCAGGCTTCACGAGTGTTAGTGTAAGTGACTGCCTCATATGTTGTCTTGATTCCCCTGCTACATTTACCAAATTCATATACTTTCATTTAACAAGATCCACACCCAGAGAGGCTAGAGTATTGCTGGCTAATGTGAAATATAGCTTTCTGGCAGAAAAATCATACAGGCAAAGAAATCTTTCTGAATATCAAGCATCTATTTGTTCGTTTTTGTCACAAAAACACTTCAGAATATCTGCTTTGTGCTTTTGTTCCACTTGCTATTGACTCTTGAATAAAGGTATCATGTGCACCGGAGTTCACGCAAAGTTTGCAGGAGAGATTATGGAAGAGCTTGAAAGCTTTAGCGCACAAGGTTATGAGCTAATACCTCAACAACAGGGAGCCAGATGAGCGTTGTTGATGCCATGTAGGAAAAGGACAATGTGCAGTATTTTTGATTTCTGCAGCACATGATTGTGCTGTCACAGCGTGGGCAAAGTACTGGATGTGCACATGCACACACTCGCAACTTTTCACATTCCAACATGGTGACATCTTCCTCCATGCTAAGATGTTAATCCCTAGATCACTTTGTCTGCCTTCTAAACAGCTAATGTGTGACCTGTAAGGTTGTGAATTTAGGTTGCATCAGCCTATTAAAAAAAATAAAACAAAATCAATAATATATGTCCTTAAAAAAATATTTGAGCAAAAATAATTCATGCACTCAGCTTGTAACGACTTTACCAAAATCTGTTTTTCTGTTAAAGAACTAGCAGATCTGGAACTGCTTTCATTTATTTATGTGAGACTGAGATTTTTCACACGCGAGTACTAATAACACACACAGGCGTTGCACCACTCCGGAGGGAAAAAAAACCCAACCCCGGGGGCAGGTTTACTGCCGGGATTTCTATGCTAGTCTTCAATAGGGTGCAAAGGGGGATTTGCATTGCCCTCTCCAGGTACTTTCATCCTGACCTGGCATCACTGAGCACGTGCTGGAACTGTGGCCAGTGCAGTTGCCTGGACAACTGATCGCTGGATTACAGGTTGTGAGAAAGAAAAGAGAGAGAGTGAAGACTCTGAGGGCAAGAGTCGGTAAGTGTCTGGATCAGTGGTCTTCAGTCTTGATCTTCCGGTTTCTTTTTTTTCCATTTTGGGCTTCAGATGCAGGATTGTTTTAGACTTGGGAAACAGTTTTATTGGCTGGATTGAATTCATTTATTTGTTCAGTAATAGAAGCTTTCCTCCATTGGCTTTGAATTTTAAATCCTTCTCCTCACTTACAAAATGACCAAACTCTAGAAGATCTAAAAGTGTTTTGTAGTACTGTATTATCTGAAAGTAGCACCGCTCTCTCAGAGTGCAGACTCTGAGAGCTCTGAGAGTTTCTAAGAGTATGATTCTTACTCTTCTGTCAAACCAGCTCCCAGGATTGGTTTCAGGGGGCAGACACTCCATTCTGCGTTTTAGCTCTGTCTTCAGTCTTTTGGATAAAACTTCAGTCTGCATCAGGGAATCCTGCGCTATTCTTTAGTTATGGTGCTGTATGACTGGGGTGCTGGGAGACCTCTCGTAATGATTGTTGTCTCTCCCTGTACTGTTCTGTAGGTACCTCTTGCTCCTGACCTGCATGTTCCCGATCACTGGATACTTCCACCATCAACAGTCTCAGAGTTCATGTTAAACTGTATGTTCTCTGTTTCCTCTCCATGCCGGTCCTTCCTCTCCTCTTTTCTCTCTTTCCAACTGGCTGTGGCAGATGGCCGGCCTTGCTGAGGCCGCTCCTGCTGAAGGTTTTTCTCTGATAAAGGGCATGCTTTTTCATCCCTATTCTTTCCAAGTGCTTTCTCAAAAGGACTGGCTGGAATTCTCTATTACTGTGTTTATCATACAACATAATGTGTATAAAGATGACAGTTTGCGTGCATTAGATGGAAATGGGATGTCATTTTTGCTTCATCCAGTCCTAAAAATCAATTACTAAACATTTGATTATATGATAAAGAAAATCTTAAGGTGTTTTTGGGTGAACACATGTTGCAGTAGGCCTGCTTATCCTATTCTGAAGTTCTAATCTCACATAGAGTTTCATTTTTGCCTTCCTTACGTCAGTGCTCCAGATAAGGATACACAGTGTCTCTGCACTATCAGGGAGCAGCTAGACTGTCCTTGAGCCTCTGATAGAAGCCAAACACCCAGACAGTCAGGTCACCATACACACCTAAAGGGTCCATTTTCAGGGGTACCACAATAGTGAGATAAAGGAGTAAACTCCAAAAAGTCCATTACAGTTTAATCTATACTGCACAGCATGTAAAACATGTTCCATTAATTTAGCTTTTTATAGATATAGTGATAGTTTGGGCTGTTTTTACTATCAAGATTCTTTTTGACAAAGTTTTATGAAAATAGACTCGCCTATGCCAGACCTGTGTCCTTGAATCAAAAATTGAATAAAGTTTAATGATAACTGGTCACAACCCAGGTTCTGTTTTATTTTTTCTTAGCTGCTTTTTGGCTGCAGGTGTCCCAAAATGAAATCACAGTTTGGAGTTTGGCTGGATTCCAGGACGTGGCCACCCAAGTGAATATAAACCTGTTTGGGATTCAGTGAAAGTTGATGTATGAGCAAAGAAGAAGTGCTAAAATAAACCTTGACCGTAAAAGTGTGCTGGTCTGGCTTCACCCTGCAAAACTTTCTCTCGAATTAAATAAAAAGCCTCTTCTCATCTCTGTTTCCATTTAGACCACACTATTGAACTACAGGATGTGGCTAACTGAAATCTAATGCCTTCGGGGGGGAAAAAGTTTCTACCGCTGCCGCATATTAAAGCCTAACTATTTTCTGTGACTGTGCCATGTCCTCATTCAATATCAGGGGCTCTGCAGACATACAAATGGCTAAAGGCTGGTAGCGGTGTAGTGACAGCTTGAGCTGCTATCTGATTGACTGATTGTTTTTAATAATGCCCCCATGCAAACATGTGTTCATATTTAACTAAGGACATGTTGACTAGACCACTACTGCTTTGTTTTTTGATGATCTTTGTTATCTAAATGACATCTCAAGATAACATGATTGGGTCAGTTATGCTCACCTGGGGAACCCTAGCGTACCAGAAAATGCATTTCTTCTTCTTCCCAGCACTATCTATCTCATTATGCTTCAGTATCCATGAAAACACACTATTTGAGGTGTATTTTACATAACTTAGCATAGAAAACAGAGAGCCTCATATAGCTGAGCAGCACTGTATACACTGGTATGCTTTCTGAAGGGCCTGGATGACAATTGTTCCTACTATCTCAGTTGAGGCAAAAATCCATAGATTCAAATTTTCCACTTCTGGTGACCCATCTGGAGACAGCTGGACCAACTATTTTCTAGCTAGTCCGCAACTAGAAGTAAACATATTTATCTGTTCTGGATGACCAGACTCAAAGGTGAAGCAAAAAGCCCCAAAAAGCTATCTGAACAAAAGGCTTTCAATCAACATCCTGACTCCGCAAGGTTTGCTGACCGTATTCCTGCCAATGATTGTTTTCCTTATCCAAGATCATTTAAGTTTGTGTGTCTGTGTGTTAGCCCTGTAACACAATGGTGACTTGTCCAGGTACCCCACAACCCTGAATTTGATGAGTGAAGAGTATATATGTGGGAAAATACATATACATATATGTTTGTTATGCACTACATTGCCAAAAATATTGTCTCATCTGCTTTTCCATGCATATAAACTTGAGTGACATCCCATTCCTAATCCATAGGGTTTAATATGATGTCTGCCCACCCTTTGCAGCTATAAAAGCTTAAATTCTTGTTACAGGGTTTCCGCGAGGTCTAGGAGTGTGTTTATGGGAATTTTTGACCATTCTTCCAGAAACACATTTGTGAGGTCAGACACTGATTTTGGATGAGAAGGCCTGGCTCACAGTCTCTGCTCTAAGTCATCCCAAAGTTGTTCGCTTGGGTTGTGCAGGCCAGTCAAGTTCTTCCACACCAAACTTTCTCATCCATGTCTTTATGCACCCCACATTGTGCAGGTGCGCAGGAAGGGGCCATCCCCTAGCTGTTTTCCAAAATGACTTGGTATGTTCAAGCATTAAGACTTCCTTTCAGTGTAACTAAAGGGCCAACCCAAAATCCTGAAAAAAAAGCCCAATACCATAATCCCCCCGTACCAAACTTTCCACTTGGCACAATGTATTCAGACTCGTACTGTTCTCCTGGCAACCACCAAACTCACACTGGTCCATCGGATTGCCAGATGGAGAAGCATGATTTGTCGTGCCAGAGAACACATCTCCACTAAGCTAGAGTTCAGTGGTGGCGATGCTTTACACCACTCCATCTGCACTTTACCCTGTGCTTGGTGATGTAAGGCTTGGATGCAGCTGCTCAGCCATGGAAAGCCATTCTATGAAGCTTTCTACACACTGTTCTTGAGCTAATCTGAAGGCCACATGAAGTTTGGAGGTCTGTAGTGACTGAGTCTGCAGAAAATTGGTGACCTCTGTTATTTTATATGACTTACCTTTCATAGCTAAGTTGCTATCATTCCCAATCACTTCCACTTCGTTATACAAAGTGGAATACTTAGTGAGGAAATTTCACGAATGGACTTGCACAGGTGGCATCCTGTCATGGTACCACACTAGAATTCACTGATGTTTGTAGAAGCTGTCTGCATGCCTAGGTGCTTGATTTGATACATTTGTGGCCATGTGAAGTGATTGGAACACATGAAGTCGATGATTTGGATAGATGAGCGAATACTTTGTATATATACGTATTTTCCAAGATTTTGTTTCACGCGCATCTGTAAAACCTCACCTAAATCTTTATTTCTCTTTCTCAACACTTTGCACAGGTTTGGCCACCTTTCTGCTACTTCTTACCAAGATAGTTAGAAAAAGGAAACCCTGTGGATGTTTTGCCAACTCATTTTTTAAAAATAGCAGTGGCTCAAGTCCAGCATATGATTATCGATGTTCTCTCTTACCTCGGGTTCTGTGTCCCGAGTGTTTTACACAGACAAGTTTTCATCCATTTTTAAAGAAACCAATACCAAGATCAACAGCTTCACAATAATTACAGACACAGCTCGTTACCTGTTTTCCCCCTAAAGTCCTAAAAAAAATCAGCTTAAAAAAATATTGAAATGTTCAATCAGGCAGCGTTTCAAACCAGATGTTGTTAAACATAATATTTAAAATACTCGCTTCTGCTTACATTCAGCTACCTTGCACACAATAAGTTTGACCTTATTTCACTTTCTAGTGTTTCAGGGTGTTTTTTTTTTTTTATAAGGTTTGCTTGGATTATTAACTCTAAAGTTAATTCTTCCAGTTGAAATATTGTTTTAATCCAAACGATTCCAGCAAACTTAATGACTTTTTTCGTGTCATCAAAAGATAATTATTTGCAAAAATTACATTTTAATTACAGGCTCCATGGTTTACGAATGTCATCATTTTCTGGGTAGTGAGTATGCAAGCGTTTGTTCTGATCCATGAACACATTTGCATTATTAAAGGTTTTTTATTATTATCGTTTTTTCTTTTTAATCCAGTAAGTCTTAGTGAGCTGAAGGAAAAGAAATTGACACTTTCACGCAACAAAAAAAATCTCATCTGCCATTAATCTTAGAAAGCTTGTTAAAATTGGATCCTTAGTGACCCTGCTAAATTCACCCGTGCCCAGATTTTTGTAACATGCTTTTCACATTCAGTATGTCAGTCTTCAATAAATCACCTTCAGCGCCTTCAAAGCTTTGCAGCCAGACAAGTCAAAATTTATCTTCGCAGCACAGGGTCGTGGTTTTCAAATCAAATTTTTTTATTATACTTGAAATACCCAGAAAGAATTACGTCTCAAATCAGGATGACTAATGACTACACCTTTAAAAAATATGTGTGCCTGTAGCTCACCAAAACTTTCCACTATCAAAGATTTAAATATTTGATCCTCTTTTCAACTTGTAATTTTTCTATCAAACTTTTTTTCTTTTGCTTTTTTATAAACCGAGCAAATTATTTGTATTATTTAAAAACTGTAGCATATACATTTGCTCTGTGTAAGTACCACATGTCCACTCCAGGGGCCACTTCATTTACTAGTTGTACTCGCTTTTGGCTTCTGAACTGCTTCAATTCTACGAGGTGCAGATTTTGTAAAATGCTGGAAACATTCTTAAGAGGTTTTGGTCCACATCGATATGATAGCGTCACACAGTTGCAGCAGATTTGTCAGCTGCACATCCATGATGCGAATCTCCCATTCCACAACATCCAAAAGACAGTCTGTTAGACTGAGATCTGGTGACTGTGGAGGTCATTTGAGTAGAAGAATGAGAATTGCCAGCTAATTGTGACATTGGATAAATAATTAAATGAAAAATTTAAACCCCAAAAACCTTCTGATGATGAAAAACACATTTCATGTTCCTTCAATTTGAAATGCCCAGAAAAAAATCTTGCATGGTGATTTTGTGGCCGAGGGGAACTTAACAGCAGTGCAAACATGTGGGATATATAAGCTGTCTCTTTTTCTGTACGCGGCCTCATCTCCACGACATGTCAAAGTCGAGGTTAACGCAGTGTCGTTCAGTTCAGCCCTACGTACCTTTTAGTTATTCTCGAGTAAATTGTAGGTTTTCCAAAAAGCCCAGTGTCTCAGGCCTCAGTTACACACTTGGGGGGGTCGGGAGGAAAGAGACAAGAGTGCAGATAAAAGAAAAACTGCAAATGTATGTCTACTGACACAGTTCACTGGACTGCACTCAGTAAAACAAAGTTGAGGACACCTCCTGAGGCTAATCTTAAACAAACCAGAGCGCAGGGTCAGGTTTGTATCTCAGTGATTTTGCTGTAGCTCTATCAATATGCAGCAATTCCAGTAAAGAGATGGATTTATCCAGAATAGATGTAAAGTCTAAGTAAGCGACACACTGTGCTTCGTTCTTTCACTGGAAGGTCTGTCCAGATACTCTCTGTTTAGAAGATTAGCTTTCTGATGTTCTTTTTAAGCGGAGCGATACGCAGGCACCAAATGGGTGCGCTTTGACAAAACACTGCCAACATTAGACAAGGTCAGAACAGTCATCATCCCCGAGCTGCATTACATGAAAAGGACATTCCATTAATTTGGATGATGTTTAGAAATGCGAGGGAGGACGATGAGGGGGAGGAAAGCGCGAGTGAGTGAGTGAATGTGAGAGGAATGAGGGAGGGGAGGAGAGGTGTAACAGGTTTCCAGGAAGCAAAAAGGGAGGGTTGCCATGAGTGCAAAGATAATAAGGCAAGTGAAGCTGAGAAGAACCTGAAGGAAATGATGGATGGTGCGAAGAGGAGAAAATGGACCATAATGAGAAACAGAGTGAGATCAGAAACTGCTCAGCAGTAATTGGTGTTAATAAAAGTAAACTTAACATCTAAATATGGCCTCAGCTCATTACTGCCACCGACAGCCCTTTGAGCA